CTAGTACTTAAATTTTTTGAAAATATCATATCATAATTTCACAAGTTCATAATTTAAATTCAAATTTTAAACAAATGTATCACACATAACAAAATAATACAAAATTACAAAATCTAATTGCAACATAATATAATTGAATAATTTATAACAAAATAACTCCAATGTCTACTTAAGTTTAGTTCCAATGAGGTAAAATTATTTCAATATTGGGATCTCCTTCTTCAATATCAAAATCATCTGCAGTAAAATCAATCGCATTTGCAACATTTTCCCCATCAATGATATTATTATTTTGGTTGTTTTCTCCAGAATTAAGTTGTTCATCATCCTCGACATCAACCTCATCCAAATTTAATTGATCTGTAACAACAAATAAATTAGAGAGTTAAACAATTAACATATAGTAATAAATTAAAGTAACAAAATTGTTATCAGAATAACTAATATCATACCAATATCATTTGACATAGGTTGAATTGTCATACTAGCAAGATCTTTGCGTAGTGCTCCCACCTCCTCAATGGTTAAGAATGGCGGTGAATCCTCCAACATCTAATCAGAATGATCACCAAGTATTTCAATATTGATAGGATCATAATTTTGTTTCTTCTTGTTTCTATGAATCATTAACGATAATGTCAAACATAAAACTCATTAATATTCTTAAAAACTAGTAGTATATAACTAACTTAACTAGCTTAAAAATTAATAATATAAAATATATATTAACATTGTACTAAAATGCAACATATTAAGCAATAGCAACAACCAAAGCATATGCTCAAATTCCTAATTAAATGTTTCCAAATCAATCTCAGTACTATTTTTTGAGATAGAGAATCAAATTAACAAGTTTCTACATATCAAGCAATAGCTAGTAGTATAAACAATATCATAAGCAAACAACATATAGTTGTTTCCAATTTTCATCATTCATAGTCATAAACAACATAAGTATATAAGCAATAACATATAAAGTATAATAAGTGCAATACCTGTTTTGTAGTCGTAGGTTGTAACGAACAAAGACAAGATCATTAAGCTTTTGATGCTCCAACCTATTTCTTTTTTTTGAATGAATGTGCTCAAATACACTCCAATTTCGTTCACAACCAGATGCACTACAAGTTTGGCTTAAAATCTGAATAGCCAACTTTTGCAAATTGGACGCTTCGGTTCCATAAGTTTCCCACCATTGATCTAGAATAGTGCATGTGAAAAAATTAGAAAATATTTTAAAATTCATATTGAAATTATAATAAAATGCATAAAGTTTATCATCTAATTTTACCTGGCAAAACTTCATCTCGATTTTCTACGGCCGTTGTCCTTCCAAAACTACCTTCACAATTTTTGAATAAACTCATCTCAACAGTTAATTTAGTTCGCAAGTCCTTACTATCATAAGCATACTTTTCAATGACATCCAAAAGACCTTGGGTAGTAGACTTGTGTTTTTCATATTCTTGACTGAATCTACAAGATGGATTTAACCAATAACCAGCAGCATGAAAATTTATGTGAAGTTGTGCATCCCAACGGTTATCTAAGATCCTCAAATAAGGCTCTACTTTCAGCTTATTTCTTCTAAACCTCTTCTCAATCTCCTCTCTTGCTTTATACATAGCTCGATAGAGATATCCCATAGCCGGTTTATCTTCACTATCAACAATACGCGACACACGTACAAGAGGTTCTGTAATTTTCACTATGTCAATACATGTAGACCAAAAGCTTGAGTCTAATACTTGTTACACAAATTGCTTTGCCTTGACATCTTTGGAATAAGTTGTAGTTGTCCACTCTTTGGAAGTTACCATGGCTCTTAGCGCATCTTTATGAGACAAAATACTTTGCAATGCAATAAAATTAGTAGCAAAACGGGTTGGAGCAGGACGAAGTATTTCTCTTCCACCTGTATTTTGTCTCATCAAATACAATGCAAAACAATGATTTTGGTAATTTTTGAAGCATGTGACACTGCCGCACTTACTTCCTCTAATTTCCCCATGTCTTGCAACATCAAGTTAATACAGTGTGCTGCACAAGGAGACCAATACAACTTAGGAAACTCTTTTTCCAACAACTTTTCAGCAGCAACATAATTTGCAGCATTATCTGTAACGATTTGAACAATGTTTTCTAGGCCAACATACAACACTACTTCCTTGAAAAGCTTAAACAATGTGTCTGCAGTTTTAGAAGCACCAGAGGCATCAACAGACTTTATGAAAACAGTTCCTTTGGGGTAATAAACTAAAAAGTTGATAAGAGTTCTTCTACAACGACCAGTCCACCCATCTGCGAGTACAACCTGTATCCTTCCAAATAGAACGATATTGCTCTAGCTGTATCTTCACGTCATCAACCCACTTATTTAATAAATTACCACGAAGAGCATGCATAGTAGGAACTTTGTATCCAACACCCATGCAACAAACAACATCAACTGCTGGTTGAAAATAAGGCGAATTTGCATCATTGAAAGGAATAGACGCATCAATAAACCACTTCGCAATAGCAGATCACACTTTTCTAGCACTTCTTTACTTTGCATCACACTTTTTAAAGTAGGTTGAGCTCCCGGAGTTGTTCTGGGTAAAAAATAAGTACCAATGCGAGCATCATTCTTTTTAGATGCACCAATTCGTGGGTGCATTTGCATTTGCAATTCACCCCCTCTGCAGAAAATGACTCACTTTCAGCCACATCTGGCGTTTTTCTTTTCTTACTCCGCTCATTAAGATATTGATTCATCCGAAAATGAATTTCTGTAGGAACTAACTTACAAATTTTAACATTTCCTACTACTCCAGTCAAGTGTTGCTTTACCCTATGAATTCCACCTCCACCAAACGCTTTGTGACAGTAAATACAAACAAGATTTTTTTCATCAGTACTTTTAGTACAATGTGTCCAAGCTATATTAGTCTTTTGTCTATGTTGAACTAAATTAGGAGTTGAAGAAGCTTCTTGTGATGATGGTGTTTCAGAAGATGCCATTTTTCTGTAAAACAGTTCAAAATTGCTACATTAAAATACACTTTAGTCTCACGTATTAGCATTAAACAGTTCAAGATTTTCTATCAAAACAATTCAAGATTTTCCATCAAAACATCTTATTAGCATCAAAACAGTTCAAGATTTTATTAGCATTAAACATCTTATCATAGAACTACTGAGAAAAACAGAATATATTTTTTTACAGAAAACCAATTAGAATCTTTACTTAGAATCATTACTTATTGCAGCATGTAGAACAAAGTGAAATGTAAAATGCACATCATTAAAATACACTCTAGGCCTATAATATAACAATGTTGTTAACATATTCACACATGACAATGCATCCATTTATCATACCTAGCAAATCCATATACAAGTTTTCTACATAACAGAATTCCAAACATATACACTCATAGCAGTTTGGGTTCCATGACTAACACAAACTTCCATAACAAAATTCATTCATAGCATGCTAGCAATTCAGAGGTCATAGCAATGTCATTCTAACACATTAACACAACAATAATTAAAACAGAGAGGAGCATTGAACTTGAAATTTTGAAACGATACAGAAACCAGAATGGCGAATCGTTAGTATATTGCGGCGGAGAGAACGAACTTACGCGATGGTGGAGAAAGACCTGGAATTTTTTTTTTATTTTTATAACTTTTATATTTAAATTTTAATTAAAAAATAAAAAATGCATTAGAACCAGTCCAACACTAAAACCGGTTTTTCCCAGTCCAACCCGGTTTCTCCCGGGTTGATGGCATATCGAACTAATAAACTGGGCCAGTCACTAGCCCAGTTTCCGGTCCGACCTGTCCGACCAGCCGATCCAATCTGATTTTTAAAACACTACTACAACGGATTTAAATCTTCAATTTTTAAAAATGATGGTAAAACTTCAATTTTCAAAAATTATTCAATTTTCAAAAATGATGATAAAACTTCAATTTTCAAAAATGATGGTAAAACGCATCTGTAAGCAATAATGTTGCTTATGAGGCCATTCACTTCCAAGCATATTTATACTGTTGCTTCATCTTGCCTAAGCGTAAACCATAGTAGAATAACTCTAACAGGGAATCAATATGTCAATTTGATATATTAAGCTAATATTTAACCTTGAAAAGTCATATTCATCTTAGTAAAAAGAACACAAGTTCGACAACATAACTACTATACTGCTGGACACTTTTCAGCAGTTGCGTAACACATCAAATAGAATTGTTTCTAGTTTTGTTTTTCATTTCTAGTTTTGTTTTTCAATAGGACCCAGATGAAAAATATATGACAGCTATGGGATTATAAGAAATGTTGGAATCTATATTTTGAGATATAAATAATCTTTCACCTTGAGGACAGTGAATATTTGTAGCTAATGGAGATTTTTCTCCCCAATTGATTCTATCACTCTAGTCAACCCATTTGGGTGAGAAACATATTTTCAGTCTTACTTGAAACATAGTGAGGCAACACACATTTTTATTCCCAATCAATTTGCAATACCAAAGTCATATAATCATATCTGTCACCAACTCACAATATGAAGTATTACAAGATCAAATTATTTTGTTAAGGAAATTCAAAGAGAGGGTGAATGGCGAAGTCAAACCTACTCTATTTTACAAAAATTCAATATCAAATTGCTATTTAGAGCTTGAGATTTAAAATTTGTGTTAAAGGTGAAAAGGATGAAGATTAATGCATTTTTTGGGTCTGCTCTTTTGGTAAGTCGTCAAAATATAACATTATTGCTTAATATATAACAGTTTTTGTTTAATTCTCATTCAACAAAACATTCTTTATATTCATTAGAATACGAATAAATAAAACCCAGATGAACCAACAACTAGTTTATTTATGCATTAGCATTTATTTCACAATTACATCACCATACATTACTTTCACATGCCATAAAAAGTACTAAGTATTATAACCAACAAAGCACACAATTTAAAGCGACAGAGTAACAAAGCACATTCTATGTTTAACCAGAGATTTCAATGGATTTAACTTCAGGCTTCTTGATCTCTTCTTTTGGAACGGTGACAGTGAGAACACCATTCTCCATGGAAGCTTTTACTTGTTCCATTTTAGCATTCTCAGGCAATCTGAACCTTCTCAAGAACTTTCCACTGCTACGTTCCACGCGATGCCATTCGTCGTTCTTATCTTCTTTCTCGACGCTTCTCTCTCCGCTTATCTGTAGAACCCTATCATCTTCAACTTCAACTTTCACTTCCTCCTTCTTCAGCCCAGGAAGATCAGCCTTGAACACGTGCGCTTCTGGTGTTTCCTTCCAGTCAACTCGTGTGCTCACAAACGCAGAATTCTCCCGAGGGAATGAAGCAGAAAGTGCAGAACTTGGAAATGGAAAATCCTTCAAGGGATCCCAAACGTCGAGAGAGAATGGATCGTATACATTGCTCCTTTGGCCACCAAAGAAACTTGGAATCAAAGACATTTTGAATGTAGCTTATAAGAACTCTGTAATTTAGAGTGGTGTAAGCGAATAGATATGGATGCTGAGTATGTATGAATGACATTGTTGAAAGGCTCTCGAGGTATATAAAGGAGATGGAAGAATAATCCTGTACTATCCAGAAAGTGCTGTTACTTGATTTATTTTGTGAAAGGGTCTTGAAATTCTGAAACATTCTAGAGTTCTACAGACATCTGAAATTTTCTAGATTTTATTTTAACTGTTCAACGATAAATAGGAGGGCTTGGGTTGTTTTTGAATGAAAGTAGATTTGGGCTTTGAAGCCCAAAATTGGGTTAGCTTGGAATTTAACCTCACACTCTCAAAAATATGTATGACACCCCACATTTCTTTATAATTTTAAACTGCCTTTAAAAAATTGGATTAAAATGTACGAATTAAATTTTTGCTAGTTGATCGAAAATTACTGGTATAAGTTAAAATTTTCGGATTTTTTTTTATGTTTCTGATATATTTGAAATAATATTGGTATTTTAAAATGTATCATGTGATATCGAAAATTTTAACCAATGCAAATTTTTTGGTAATGCAAATTTCAAATTTGTTACGATTGTGCTGACAATTTTGTACGGTGATGACTGCGTCGACCGTTTTGTGTGGTCTAGAATGAATCCAAAGTTGTATAAATAGGGGTCATATGTCATTGAGAAAAACATCTAAAAATGCTTCTTCCTCAATTTTTGATTAAGAAGTCCACTTCAACAGGAACAAACTCCTATAGAATTTCAGCTTTCAAAGGACAACACATGTCTCGCCGTCTTGAGATCCATGTTGAATGATTTGTTTCCTGACAACGAGAACAGAAAGTTGGGTAAGATCGAGTTTCGTGCAGGCTTGATTGATACTGATGGAAAGGTGAACTAGGACCTTATCGAGTACATCATCAAATTCTCCTTGATACATTTATATTCTTTTGTTAATTTCTTCACCATCAGTTCTGAATCCCCTTTTATTTCAACTTCCTTTACTCCCAAATCCAATGAAATCCTAAGGCATACTACCAAAGCTTCATATTTAGCCTCATTATTAGAGCAATGACCCTTGATTCTGAATTTGAACAGCGTTGGTATCTCCTTTGGGGAGATTATGAGAAGTCCAATCCAGTTCCATCCTTGTGCTTGGAACTATTGAAGTGCAATTCTCAAGGTTTCTTACTCACGTAATTTTTTGTCACTTTGACCAATGAATGGTCGGCGATAAAATATGTGACAATATGGTCTTTTATGGCCTTTAAGGGTGAGTAAGTTAATGAATATTCAGTGAGGGCTAGCGCCCAATTCTTGATTCGACCATGTAGAATGTGTTTATATAACATATGCTAAATTATATCAAAATGAGAATAAACAAAGACATCAACTGACTTTATATAATGCTTTAATTTGCTACATGAAAAGTACAAGCAAAGACATAACTTTTCTATTGAACTATATCTAGTTTCAGCATCATTCAAGACTCGACAAAGATAAAAGATGGCTCTTACGACGCCATTATTATCTTCTTGAGCTAAAGTGCTTCCTGTAGTCAGATCTAATGATGATATGCACAACTTTGTGACTTTATTTCTAGTAGGAGGTGAGAAAATAAGAGGCCTCGTCAAATATGATTTGATTTCGTCGAACGCCTTTAGGTGGTTTGGTTCTCACCTAAAACCTTCCTCATTCTTTAGTCGAAGCAAAGGCGAAATTGCTTGTGTTTTGCCACTCAAATTAGATATAAACCTCCTTAGGAAGTTTATCTTTCCAACATATATTAAAGTTGTTTCTTTATCGAAGAAGGTGTTGTGTCCAGAATTGCTTTGGTTTTATTTTGATCGATTTCAATGTCTTTTTGTGCACTACAAAACCCAAGAAGTCGCCCACAAGGACACAAAAAATACATTTCAATGGATTCATCTTTAATCCATATATCCTTATCCTTTCAAAGGATTGTCGAAGGTAGTATCTATGACCATATTTTGATGAGAATTTTATGACAATGTCATAAATGTAAACCTGCATGAAGGTGTCACTAAAATCATGGGACATAGAGTTCTTAGCCCTTTGATAGATCGCACCAACATCTTTTAGACAAAAAGACATCATTACCCATTTGTAGGTCCCTAAAGCCCATGGGCATTGAAAACCCATTTTTGGTACGTCTTCTTCAGTAATGAAGATTTGATTATACTCTGAATAGCCGTCTAGTATGCTTAAGTAGTCAAAACCTGCAACCGAGTCGACTAACATTTCAGCCACAAACATACGACATTCATCCTTATACATAACATTATTGAGATCCATAAAGTCTATGCATACCATAAGAGTCCCATTTTTCTTAATGACAGGTACTATATTAGTCAGTCATTTGACATACTTAGCAGTTCTAATGAACTTGCTTTTAAGGAGTCTCTTGATATATTCTTTGCTCTTGGACATTATCTATGACACGAAACTCCTTGGTAGTTGCTTTACTGGTTTTTTACCAAGTCGAATTGGCAGCTTTAGCTCAACCATGTCTCGAATCAAACAAGGCATCTCGTTATAGTCCCAAGCAAATCAATGCTTGAACTCATTGAGTAACTAGGTCGTATGCTCCTTTTGGTCTAGGTCGACTTTAGTGCTTATGTAAATTGGTCTTTTGAGTGTACTGTCCCCCAAGTCGATCTTTTCTAAAGAATCTTGGACTTTGGTTTTCATGGTTGAGTTCATTGGACCCTTTGCAAATCCCAAACTCTTGTTGTCGTAGATGCAGTCGAGCCTGTAGCTTTATGAAGCTAATGTTTGGCCAAAATGGCCATCTTTTTTTATTTCAATATTTTCGACAATTTTGGCATCAACAACCATTTTCTTTTGTGAAATGTCAGCCTATAAGGTCGCCTTTATTCTATTTTCGACCATATAGGCCGAAATTCGAGCAAAGATGTTCGAGTCTGTCATTATTATTATTATCCATCTCCCATCCAATTGGTGGGATGGTTCCTTCTTTGGCACCTTGGTCTCCCATTATTTTAACAAGGAATGAGGCATCATACTTACTAATGCTCCTCCATCAAAAAAGACTTTGTTAACGCCAATGTTGTCTACTTTTTCTGTATAAACAAAGGCTTAAGATGATTCATCATACTTGCACCGAGCCTTTCAAACATGTATGTTGCTCTTTGACAATGCCATTGTTCATTACTTTGTAACATTTTAGCTTTTGATTCGCCACTTCTTTGATCAACATATCATCTTTTGTCTCAAAGACTTCAGAGGCGCAATCAAATTCCTTAGGTAAGACTGACACGATGATTCAAGTGACATCGAAATCATTTTTTGACCCTACGTCGAAGTTATTTGCGACCATTCATAGTTAGGTTGTATTGTGGAATCAACAAAATCACTTTTCTTAACTGGTGGTAACGCAGGAAACAACCTTTGTTTTACATGCCTTTTAGACGCTTCACTGGTTCTTCCTATAGGTGTTTTATTGTTGGATTTCAACCATGCAACTTCATATGCTACCTTTTTATTCGTCTAATGTCTACGTTATTGTGTCCTCGTCATGGGGTTCTTTCCCATATAATTTTGAGGACCATAGGAACATTTCTTTGTCGTGTGGGAGTTATCTTGTCAGCCTACCATTCTGGACCTGAGGAATTGGCTGATTAGGTACTTGAGGAGCACTAAAGAAATCCGTAATTTTACCCATTTAATTTTCTAACATCTGGTAACTTTGGTTAGTGTTCTGGATCAAAAGATTGAACATTGAAGGTGATAAAAACACAAATTATGTCCTCTTTTTATCTCTAACTTCTTTTTCTTCGTTTGGTTGATCTTAATCAGATTTGGATCACTCAGTTCAGAGTCTGAACTCTTGAACATCCTTATCAGATTCTGAAACAGAATTTGACTCAGAGGTAAATAAATGATAGCAGTGGAATATAGTTCAGAAGCAGATAAACCAAAGAAAGAGACACAAACAGTAATCCTGGTTCCTTTCGCAACTTGAGAGTAGTCCATTCCCTTTGTACTTCCAAGGGATTTCAATTATTACTAAACTGATTACAAATGCTCAAGCACCAAGCAAGCAACTTCCACTGCTCAAACCTACAAGTAAGAGACTTTTATGCTTAAGCACACAAGCAAGAGACTTCCAATGCTCAAACTCTTAAGTAAGATAATTTTATGCTCATGCACATGAAGGAGAGAAAATAACACAAGAAGGGGGGTTGAATTGTGTATTCCAAAATTCATTCCACTTTTAAACTCAGAACTTCATAATGTGTAATAGTAGCGAAATAATAAAGCTCAGAAGTAAATGCAAGAAACACACAAAGATTATTCCAGTTCCTCTTCTCAATTGAGAGTAGTCCAGTCCCCTTCCCTTAACAAGGGCTTTTCTCTATAACCAAATTTATTACAAATGCTTAAGTTAGTGTTTAAGACTTCCTGCTCAATCAACCTTGAATGAGACTTCCTTGCTTAAGCCACTTCTTAAGACTTTCTGCTCAATCAACCTTGAATACGACTTCCTGCTTAAACTCTAGGTTCAATAATTCTTTCTCAAGTACATAGACAAGAGACTTCAATTCTCAAGCATGCATGCAAGAGACTTCCTCTACTTTCAACAAACAGTTAAGTAGAAAAGATAAGTACTATACTTTGATACAAAATCATAAGTATAACAGTTATGCAGTAATCATAAAGTTTTTCAACCTTTCTAAGATTTCTAAGATAAATCTAAGATAAGAATTCTTAAGATCTTATGTTATAACAGTTACAATAATAGCTCATAGTTATGCTAAGATCTTTCAATGTGTTGTGATGTTGTAACCTTCCTTTGATTCTTCAGTTTCCTTTTATAGATATAGAAAAAGAGTTGTTGGAGGTTTGAACAACAACATACTTAATGAACAAGTATAGCAAGAGAGACTTTAGAGAGTTGTATCTAATCAGAAGCTTTGTCCACTGAATAAAAGCAATGTCTACAACACCTTTTGA